ATGAGGAACATGCTCAAAACATTTCATCAAAAAATTCCAGCACGAAGGTGTCTAAACGGGCTCGGCCGGACGGAGCATCCCGTCAGGCCGGCCTGACAAGAAGACCACTCTATATATATACAAGTATATATTAAATATGCTCAAATATCAAAAAGTTCAAACGTTCCACAACAGGTCCTTGGATTGAGGCCTGCTCTCCCAGCTCTTACACTCGGGTTCGAATCCTCCTTGCTACGGATTTTTGAATATATTCCGGCTTCTAGGATATTTCCGGGTTTGGGCCGTCACGGGCTACGATCCAATCTGGCGGTTTAGTGGGGTTTTCCGGGTTTAGCCACATTTGCGGGTTGGGCTTCAACCGGACCGGATTGGGCTCCGGGTGACCGGTTTCCGGGTCGACCCGGCCGGTCCGGTCCGGTTCTTACAACACAGACCCCCTCATGACATTTTTGTCTAAATTTTGTCTTCAAATTAAAATAAATGAAACTTTTTTTGACAAATTTAAAATGAAAGTCTAGATAATACTCCGTAATTTAGATATATATGATTTTCATATAGTAAAATTGAGTTATAAAATATAAATGAATCATTATCTAATTGAACTCTGAAACCAAAAAGACTCGTTGGCTTCATTGGAAAACATAATTGTGAAACCCTAGGCGAGAGGCGAAGTGTGTTGTCGCCCCTCCAACATTTTGCATTCCATCATGTTGCGGTGTTGCGGTCCGCGTGCCTCTAGGAGTACAGCCGCCGGCCGTCCAACCTTCAGATTCATGTCAAACTGAAAGAGCACAGACGATGCATTCAAATAGGTAGCGGATTTCATGTCTTGTTCTAGGTAGCTGAGATTCTTAATAGAGGTATGACCCAACTGGACTGTTCTTCTTTTCTGGTTGTGTTTGTTATGTATTTTGGCGGTTATTTGTAGGGACACTTCGCTTCGGGCTGTTTTGTCTCCCTCTATGTGAGGAGTTGTTTTGCTATCCCGGCCAGTTTTGTCTGGTCGGGGATTTCTGGTTGCTTTCTTTGACGAAGCGTAGACAGTGGTAAAGGTTGTCCTCCTCCAGAACCACCCCATACCAAGAAGAATTTTGTGAAAATGCTATATCTCAATTTTATTTTCCTTTAGTAGTACTTTTTCTAATTTACTTCGAGTAAGTTTGAATTGGATATTTAGATTTCTGGAGTACTTTTGATATATAGTGTTTCAATTTCGATTGTTTTAGGCTTAAATTTCTCTGTTTAGTGTCTAGCGTATCAGGTTACTTTGTATGAGGTGACTGATTCTATGTCTCTTTTTAGGGCCTACGATCGATTCTAGCATAACTGTCTAGAAGTTGTTTTGTATGATTTCTAGATATTAACATAAAAACCCGCTCTTTTATATTAAAAAAACAATTGACTAATAAGTATATATTTAATTTAATTTAATCTAATATAAGTAGCATTACATTAAGAGAAAATTCAACAGTCTTTAAAGTCTATGGGCCGACAAACTTGGGCTTTGTTCGTTTAGATTTTAATTTTTGGTGTGTCTTTGTATTCAATTGGGTAAGGTCCTCTCAATTGTTATTTTCCTTTTTCAGCTTAGCATTTTTGGGGGTATTTTGAAAGAGTATGTCCTTTGAGGAGAGGTTTGGCCTGGTCCTCTTTCTCCTCTTTGTACTTATTTTATTTTAATAAAACATGACAAATGTTCCTCGACATTTGCCTCACTGTAAGGTGGTTTACTTAGGAAGTTTTCTTTTGGACTGTTTTCAGTCCCAGACCAGACCAGACTAGCTCAGACCAGACCAGATCAAACTAGACCAGACCAGACCAGACTTCCGTAATTATAAAATACATAGAGACCAGACGTTTACCAGATCAGACCAGACCAGACCAGACCAGCAAACTTCAGTCCAAAAGAAAACATCCTTAACGGGTTTAAAAAAGTTAAGGTTCCTACAAACTTATCAATTAATTCAAATTTTTAGATAAATTCCATAGATGCATATATATTAATCTAGATAACAAATATTATGTTGGGTAAGCGTGAGGCTCTTCTAGAATTTAGGCTTTGGGGGCTTCTTTGTATCTAATGGCAGTAGAGAACATAGATATTTTCAATCTTCACGTACGATAGACTATCACTAGTTGAATTCTTGTTTGTTTTCCAACTCCCAATATAATACTTCTATCTAGAAGTCATGCATGCATAATTTACTCTTTTAGAACTTTAGCTACCGGGAGCATAGCTCACCAGGTAGGAAGGGAGTGTCACGAGAGAGAGGTCTCAGGTTCAACTTCGAACAATGATTTGGGATGCAGTCTCATTCTATTTCTATTAGAGTGATATCAAAGTTCAATTTACATCCTCACAGCTAGCTAAGTTGTCCGGTCGGTGCTGGGGGGCTCAGAGATGGGATGTCATCCTTTGTTTTAGCACTCTAGCTACAAATAATGACAGTTCTTTCATATAATCCATCCTTAGAATACATTTTATTTTAATAGTTTCATATTACTTCCGTCCCGCTAACATTGAGATATGGGGGGTGGTGTGGTTATTAAAAAGTGAGTTGATGTGGTTGATATTGAATTGATGAAGTAAGAATGATTCAGAATCATATAAAATTTATCAAATTTGGTATGAGACGATCTTAGAGGGATGAACCGAAATTGATATGGGACCATCTAAGCGGGACGGAGGTAGTAATTGGTATCCCTACAAAAAATATGTGGTGGTTTCTCTTTCATCCGTACAATGATACGATGGGTCAAGAACATCTCAAATATTAAAAAAATGATCATTACATGCAAAGCTAATTAATCACTCACCAGGATAATGTGTCTCAGCACAGTCAAAGTCGTAGTTTTTTTTGTTATGAGTTACTTTATGCAATGACAAGTTACCATTAATGTGATCTGGTTTTTTTAAATTTTTTGCTCTTACTTTTTCTTTGCATATTCTTCAAAGACCACAAGATACTATATTTATTATGATGATTGTTTTGTAAAGGTAATTGTAATTACTTTTTTCTATTGCCAAACCCATTAGTTTTATATTCTTATACTCCATCAGTCCCATTTTGTAAGATAATTTTCCTATTCACTTCAACAACACAAATCACTCTTAATCTCTTACTTTATATATTTAATTTTTATCAAATTTGATTTTGGTTTTTGCGACTATGTAAGACTTTTAATATAGTTTCTGAATATGTTTTTTTCTAAAAAAAAATTGAGTGCGGATAGGGATCTGTTTCCTTTATCGTCGATCAAACATCGTAAACCGTAAATTGCCTTATAATTCGGGACGGGGGAGTAACTCAGTTTTAATTGAGACCTAAAAAGACATTTTTCTTACCGTTAAGAAAATTAGATCCCCAATATGGCAATAATTCTTCCATAGTCTTTTGTCATGCAATATTCGTATAAAAATATATACGTTTTAGTTTGATGTTAAAAAAATGCCTTGTTAAATATAAGTAGCCTATAATGTTTTGGAACACAACCCAAAACGCTTCTAATCGTAAATACTCAAATCCCTACACCTAAACAATTACGTGTTAATAGTAGTAATCATTTACAAATATGTATCCAAATATAACCAGAATCCTAAATACTCAAATCCTAAATAACGTTCAAGCAAATAAATTGTAAAAACATAAATAATTTCTCTATCCAAATATGCATTCATAAAATTCATATACAATTCATGCATGATTGTATTGTATATGTGTTACGTTTTTTAAATCCAATTGTAATAATTTTTCAATGTTTTAAAGTTTAATTCTTTTACAAAGAACCTCCTCATTGTAACCTAAGAGTCAAATTTTGGAACAACCTGGTCACCCATCTTATCATCTCAATTCAACTCAAAGCTAACTAATTGGAAGTTTATTTTATCACCAGAATAAGGAAAATCATCATTTTAATAGCCCACTTGAAGAAAACAAATAAATAACTAAAATTTAATCAAATACTTTATAAATTTTGTTTTGAAAATGGATACAGATTAAAAGTTTATATTTGGCGAACAATTTAAACTTTAAATTATTAAAAGTGACGTTGTCGAGGCATGTCGAGGGGTTACAAGTACTACATATCATTGATGTAAAAAATAAAAAATGGAAATTGCAAAGAAAAGTGAAGAGCCGATGATTTTTATGATTATATAACTACTTGGTGGTTCATGTCATCAATTTAAATATAATGGCGGCATGGGAAATTTACTTTAGGCAATATAAAATCATCACAATAGAAATTCATCACAAGACATTCGATAATTAAAGAGGTCAACATTATAAGAAACTGAATGTATTTCGTATCGAAGAGATATTGGAGTCGTGGGGTTGGTGTGAAATAATGGGAAAGGGATACTCCAATAGGAGTCCTGACAGATATATTTATAATAGAGGAGTTGCCAAAATACAAAGTACGTATTCGTATTCCTAAATAGATATTAGACAGATTTCTAAATATATATTAGGCAGATTCCTAAATATATTAGTCTATTACACCCCCTCAAACTGTGCGGGAGATACAACGCGCAGGTTGTGTTTTAAAAAATGAAATTGCAAACTAAAAAAACTCTTAGTAAATATATCCGTGAGCGGAAGATTAGAAGGCACATCTTTGATAATATGATCTCCATGAGAATATATGTCTGCAGCAGCAAGCGGCGAACTCAACAGCGCGCTTGAAGCAAGCACCGTGGTCAGCGACGCAGAGAAGGTGAGCTGCGCGGACATAGGCAGCAGCAGGCGGCGAACTCAACGGCACGCTGGAAGCAAGCACCGTGTTCACCGACGCGAAGGAGATGATCTGCGTCATATTTTCCGCGCTCATCTTCAAAGGATCAGAGACTACCGTAAATGTGGCGGCAGTCGACCCCGAGGCGGCGGCGGCTATAATAAGGTTCATAGGAACCGAAAAAAGAAAAATTTGTATCTACAAACCTAGAGCTCTTGATATCATGTGAAATAATGGTAAAAAGAATATTTTTTTTAGTGATGAGAGGGGAGTACAAAATAGATAAATAGGAGCTTGCACAATAGCAGAGCTATGAGGAGGTTACAAATACTGTATATAAATACTAAGGTACAAACATAAATTAACGAGGATTGAGGCTCCTGTAACTAGAAGCGTGACTTTTTGAAAAAGAATTTCCTCATTGCGCTCATTGTTGGAGGAAAGCGAGGTCCTGTGAAACCCTTTGGGTAGTCAAACCATCCAATGCGAAAGCCACCAGAGGGCGGATGCAGGACCTTATAATCTACGTGACAACAAGAACAGAAATTGTTCGCTGTTTCGGGATCAACTTGAATGATAAAACAGTGTGTTGGGTTGGGACTGTCATTAATCTCAAGGAAACAACGCCTGGGAGAGTCCCATTCGGGAAGCTTAGCAGTGATGCTCATGTGTCTGTGGAAGTCAGGATATCTGCCAATCGGAAAGCTCCAACTCAACAAGTCCACCATCTCAAAACAGGTTCCGTTCTCCCGGTTGAAGAGCTTCAAGCCGGAATTAGCTCTTTCTCTTAAGCGTCGACGAGTGGCCTCTACCCCTTCTGCTACGCGACTCTTCTCCGTCTCCTTCACTTTCTGCTGAGTCAATTTTCCTCTATCTGTCTCTTCCTTCTCCCATTCATTTTTCTCTGCTTTCTGCGATTTCCTCTTCTTGTCCTTCTTCTTCGTCCCTTCCTCCCTGGAGAATTATTAACGGTGAAATACAAAAATTTCCATACCAATATAACGGAGAATTATCTACACTCACCGATGCAAGCATCGGCGAAGGGGCTGACAATTCGCTGCGGTTCGATCTCCTCTCCCGTATTCCGCCATGCTTGTGGGTTAGCCCATCACGCTTGTACAAGGATGGAGTCCTGACAGATATATTTATAATAGAGGAGTTGACAAAATACAAAATATTCGTATTCCTAAGTAGATATTAGACAGATTCCTAAATATATATTAGGCAGATTTCTAAATATATTAGTCTATTAGTTGGTTGCTAACTAGAATTGGTTGGTCTGGTGTGTTTCTATGTAGGAATAAATTGTTCTACCCATTGGCTAAGTTAGAGATAGTTTTATTCTACATCAAAGTTATTTGTGAAAGACTTAAATATAAAATTGGAGATACGATAGATACATTTAATTGGAGACTTAAATGTTATATATTGAACTTTTCTATATATGTATCTCCCTCTTAATAAATAAATTTCTTTTCAAAGTAATTAGTAATGATAGTGGTAATTAAATCTATCCCGTATCTAATGTTATAAATAAAGAAGTTTTTAAAAACTTGTAACAAGAATACACATATACTAATTTTTATTGTTATTTTCGTTTTTATATTACGCTACGTCTTCCCTTAAATAATTTTAATTTTTCTTTTCATAGCCATCCAAAAATTACTTCTTATTTTTTAGATGAAAACATATTATGATTCATTTATTTTTCCATCTTCAAAATACATTTCAATCTTGCAATTTCATTTTCTTAAATTTATCAACTTAGTACTATCAATCACACTTTCATGTTATTATCGGATGGGCAATTATTACTATGATTCTACATGTGTTACGTCTCAGTTTGATTTTACAATCACATCACTTATTTGGTGAAAGCTTTTTAACTCCAAAACTTATAAGTAAAATCATTCAAAGTACTTGATAATTAGAAAAATTATAAATATGTTATTAAATTTTGCTTTGTGCATAGTAAGGCTAAAATATAGTATTGTACATACAATGTGTAGGCTTCCTACAATACAACTCGTGACATTTATATTTTTTGTGACATTGCTCGATATTGTTCTCTAACTTATGGTTTTCAACATTTGAAATAAAAGTCTAAAAACTATTTCATAATTTGTTGATAAATTTAAGAACAAAAATAATTATTATAATTTTTTTATATTTTTTTGCATCTTCATATAACATACTCCGTATATACTACATATTTCAATCACTTTAATATTTAAAAAAAATGAAAAATGAAAAGAAAAATAAAGAGCCCTTGATTTTTATATGATGGTTCATGATGTCTTCATCTCAAATATAGACAATATATACGTAGTATGAAACTTTACATTAGAAATTGTCCTAATTAAATAGGAGGAAACACAATGTGAAATGTGAAATTCTAAAATAGTGATATTATGTTTTCTCTAAGTAGGAGTAATTAAATGAAAATAACGACAATTATGATTGACATTAATATTGTCATATTGATTGTGATAATGTCAAAAGATGTTTTATTAGGATATAAGTAATTTACTCCAATTTAAAGAAAAACATAACATTCATATTATGGAAACTATCATTGTTTTCACTCCTATCTCGGTGAGTTGTAACTTACATTGTTTAGAGAAAATAATAGAATAGGAACAATGTTTTTTCTCACATATTATAGTATCTGCTCTCTTAAATGTCAACATCATATCTTTAATTGATATGAGTTTTGAACTGATGACCACCTCCTTGGAGTATCATAGTGACGACATCGAACCACGAGGTGTTTGAAAGAATTGGAGCAACACAAAACACGTTTTCTTAAATTGATGTATCATCTTTCTTTCTAAAATAATAAGACTCATTCGCTCCTGAATTTTTTTATTGTTTTTCTTTCTAATAGGACTAAAGAAATCTTATTTTAGGAATAAAAAAAGTACTGCTATTTTGGAACTTCATCCATATTTCCCCCCTATATATATTTAGCAATCTCTTCTATTAAAATGTATGTAAAAGTATTTTAATAATTGTATATATCATAATGCAAGACATCCCATAAGGTCACTGAGTCAAGATACAAATAAATATGTGTAGTCTTGATATGATATGAGAGTCACTTGAGCTCAAATGAGTAACCAATCCATCAAACACTCAACAATGAGTACACAGAATACAAGTCACCTTATTAGACCAGTTGAAAATGTGAAAAATAATCTAAAAGGTCTTGCACCACTCTTCTTAATTATCAAGTGAATCATTTAGGATGAAACTTTATGTCAATAGATAAGTGATCGATGTCCCGATTGGTTTGAAACATTATTAACTTTCAAAAGATACATTTAGTAGTTTATGATAGAAGTATATAATTTTATTTCTACTTATTAAGGAGTATAATAGAATAATTAAGTTTTTAAAAATTTTAAGTATTGAGATATTCTAAAAAGTGTGTGTTATTGAATTGGTGTACTCCGTTTTTTATAAATATGCATAGTTATTGTTTTAATGTTAATTTTTTTTATAACCTGAATTTCATTTACCTTTCATTTTAGTATATAATATTTATTATTATTACTTTCAAATAATATTGATTAGTCATTTTCTTCTACTGTTCTCCAAATATATATTAGTACTCCTTCTCAAATGATTTATCTTCATTGTTGCTATCAATTTGATATACAACAATATAAAGTGGGCAATGACATCAAGTATATGAAATGCACATAACATTTGAAATATTACGGGACCGGCATCTATAATGAGCAAAGTATGTGTTTAATAATAGCCTAATATTAAATTAGGAATCCTTTGTATCTTTGGAAACTTTTATTAGTATAAATATATCTGCCAGGTACCCTATTGGGTAACCTTTCCCATTATTTCACATGGTATCAAGAGCCTAATTTTTCCTCTCTCCTCTAAACCCTCACGATATGAGCTCGGCTGAAAATTCATCTGCCGCCGCCTTGCATATGGATGCCGCCATCTCCTTCTCCTCCATGGCGGGTTCCACCATCGCTTCTCCTTCTTCAACTACGACGCCGGTTTCCTCTGTCTCAACCGCTGCGGCCGTAAGTGTCACCAGCGCCGCCATAAGCCAGCCAGCGCAACAGCAGGTGACCGTCGTTCAGTCCAGTCCGGTAGTGCAACCAGCCTCTTCTTCCTACGTTGCAAACGTTCCAGGAGCATATTCCTTGTTCCAGAATATACCTCCGGTTTTCCCATGGCAGACGAATGTCATAAACCATGTTCCAGGTCGGACCTCCCCTATACCGCCACCTGTCACGCCTCCGCCGCTCTCCAGCCCGGGCTATTTTGGTTCTACGTTTTCTGGCACACCTGGACTGTCCAGGCCGCTAGAACAGTCCCCGTTTCACTCCCTGATGGCTGCAGTTGCTCAAACTATTGTTCCGGCTAACAATGTTACTCAAATTGTTACAATCAAGCTTAAGGCGGTAGAAGACTACATTACATGGCGCACTCAATTTGAATCCTTCCTAGTCTCTCAAGGGGTTTTTGGGTTCTTGGATGGTCCACACAGGTACCTCCGATGTACACGGTTGATTTTAATAATCATCAAATCATTAATACTGAATATTCTCACTGGCTAAGGGTTGATCAAACTATTCGTTCTTGGATTTTTGCTACTCTTACTCGTGATGTATTAATTGATGTCCATGAACTTAAACACTCCTTTGAGATTTGGGAACGATTGAAAAATCGTTTTCGTTCTGCTAGTCTGGCTCGGTCAATGACCCTTAGGCGATTGTTGTCTAATATGAAAAAGAAACAAAATCAATCTATGGAAAGTTATTTAAGAGAAATTCATGTGTTAGTGGGTGAATTAGCCGCAATCAATTCTCTTGTGTCCAATAAAGAAGTTCTTCAGACCACACTTATGAGACTTGGACCAGAATATGAATCCACCATGGGCACTATTTCTCTTTTCCCCGACAATTTTCCACCAGACATTCTTCACCGGAGCTTGCTAGAGGCTGAACAGCGGGTCCTATATCTTCGCCAGCAAACTGCTCCACCTGCTTATCACGCCTTCGGTGTCCAAGATCGGGACAATGCCCCACGTGGAGGCCGTGGTGGCCGTGGAAGGGGTGGCCGTGGCAGAAACGGGCGCGGGCCGCGCGGCAGAGGCCGCGGCTACAACCAGTACGGTCAACAACCCCCTCTCGGCCAAGGGCAACAGCCGGGTCCACAGCAAGGGCAGCCAACGGGGCAGCCCCATCACCAGCAAGGGTTCAGCCATCACCATAGAGAGCAGCAGCAACTGAGAGCTCCGAACGCAGGTGCTATAAGTAATTCTGTTTTGTCCACTTTAAATACTCATGCTATATTATATTGTGGTGCTAATGTTAACTCTGCAGGCTCTTCATCATCTGAGGGAATTCTTGGGGCAATTCCTCCACCTGTTGTGTGTCAAATATGTTTTTCTGCAGGTCACGCCGCGATCAGCTGTCCTTCTCGTTTTTCTCCACCCACTGCACCTGTTCTTCTCACCGGTCAAGCTAATGAAGCTTTGTGGTATCCAGACACTGGTGCCTCTGCTCATATGACTTCCTTAGAAGGTATTTTGACAAATAAATCTACTTATTCTGGTCCAACTCTTGTTAGCGTTGCTAATGGTGCTCAACTTCTGATTAAACATGTTGGTGATATCTCTTTAAATTCTTCTGGGCGCCCACTGCTATTGAAATCTGTTTATCATGTGCCTAATATTAAATTCAATTTAATTTCAATTCAAAAATTATGTGCTGATAACAACTGTGTTGCTATTTTTGACAAAAATTCCTTTTTTCTTAAGGACAAAATTTCGGGGGCGGTTCTTCTTCGGGCAACAACTAATGACCATCTCTATCCTCTCAGCCTGAGTCCACCATCTAGCCTAGCTTTATCTTCAATTCTCACCACTGGCCCTGTGTGGCATCGTAGATTAGGTCATTGTGGTGAAAATATTTTACATATTTTAAGTAGTCAAAAACGCATATGTAATAGCTCCAGTTTTTCTCATGGGTGTATTACTTGCCGATTAGGCAAGTCCCAACGATTACCTTTTTCAGATGCTATTCATACTTCTTCTTCTCCCTTGCAATTAATTCATTCTGATGTGTGGCAGTCTCATGTTCTCTCTAATTTGGGTTTTAAATATTATGTCTGCTTTATTGATGATTTTTCTCGTTTCACGTGGATTTATCCATTGCGTAATAAAACTGAGGTTTTTGATTCCTTTAAAATTTTTAAATCTTTAGTTGAAAATCTTTTTGATTATAAAATTAAAATTTTTCAAAGTGATGGAGGGGTGAATTTGTTAATTCTACTATGCAGCAATTTTTTGATACTCATGGAATTTATTTTCAAAAATCATGCCCTCACACTCCTCAACAAAATGGGCTTGCTGAGCGTAAACATCGGCATCTACTTGAACTTACCAGGACTATGCTTATTGAGGCATCTCTTCCTAGTCATTTTTGGGTCGATGCGTTGTTTACAGCTGTATATATTATTAACCGACTACCCACTCCAACACTATCTAGTCTCTCCCCTTATGAAAAACTTTTTCAAAAATCTCCTGATTATTCCCTTTTGCGTGTGTTTGGCTGTGCCTGTTTCCCAAATATTTCTGCCACCTCCTCAAATAAACTTTCTGCTCGCTCTATTCAGTGTGTTTTTCTGGGCTATGCATCTGGTTATAAAGGTTATCGTTGTCTTGAACCTAAGACCGGCAAGGTTTACATAAGTCGACATGTGCGTTTTTGTGAAAATATTTTTCCATACACCACTTTGACCTCTACTATGTCTTACAATTCTTCTTCCTCTCACATTCTCTTGTATTTTACTTCCTGCAGCCGACCTTCTTCCAACCCAATATCCCATTCTCAGTCTTCTATTTTTCCTAACCAGACACTTAGCTCCACCCGTATCCAGCCTTCTATCTCCACCTCACTGCCTGTTCTTCCACCCAGTCCAACTTCTCCACCCAATAGTTTTATTTTCTCCAGTCCACATCAGTACCCAGCCCACCTCCTGCTCGGCCGAGACCAGTCCAACACCCAGCCCACTCCCTGAACCCAGTCCACCTCATCCAACCAGCCCAGAACCTGAATCCAGCCCAGAACCCGCAACCAAACAGCAGCCTTCCTGTCCGGTTAATGTCCACCCGATGCAAACTCGGGCAAAATCTGGAATTTTTAAACCCAAACCTATTTTTAATTTAAACACAGTTGCTCTTTCAGCTGATCCTACTTGTTTTTCAGAGGCCAATAAACAATTGATATGGCGTAAGGCTATGGCTGAGGAATTTAATGCACTTATTGCTAATCACACTTGGGATTTGGTACCATTTGATAATTCTAAAAATATTGTTGGATCTAAGTGGATTTATAAGACAAAATTTCTTTCTGATGGGTCTATTGAGCGCCACAAGGCACGGTTAGTTGCTCAGGGTTTTAATCAGCAGGCTGGTGTAGATTTTTCTGAAACTTTTAGTCCTGTTATTAAACCCACCACTATTCGTACTGTTCTCACTTTAGCTATTTCATTCGGGTGGGTTATGCGTCAGCTTGATGTTAAAAATGCTTTCCTTCATGGTCATCTCACTGAAAAAGTTTATATGCGTCAGCCGCGGGGTTTTATTCATCCTCAGTATCCTCATCATTTATGTCGTCTGCGCAAGGCTATTTATGGTCTTAAGCAGGCCCTGCGGGCATGGTTTCATAGGTTCAGTAGTTTCCTACTTTCTCATAATTTTTTATGTAGTAAGTCGGATAACTCTCTATTCATTTACCGCCAGGGCACTTCAATTATTTATTTGTTACTATATGTGGATGACATTATTATTACTGGCAATTCCTCGTCTGTTGTCACTCAGTTCATTCATCTTATTGCTCACCATTTTTCCATGAAAGACTTGGGTGATCTTCATTATTTTCTTGGCATTCAGGCCATTCGAAAACCTAAAGGTTTGTTTCTCTCCCAGCATAAATATGTCTCTGACCTTTTATCTCGTTTTCATTTACACACTATCAAGTCAGTTCGCACTCCCCTTGCGTCTCGTACTTCCTTATCTCTCACTGATGGCGAGCTCCTTGCAGATGCGACTGAGTATCGCAGTATGGTAGGTGCATTACAGTATTTAACTTTGAAAAGACTTGATATTACTTATGCTGTGCATTTGGTTTCTCAATTTATGCATGCCCCACGTACCACTCATCTTTTTGCTGTCAAGAGGATTTTTAGATATTTGCAGGGTACCATTGATCATGGTCTATGGCTTCAGCCTACACCTAAGGCGACCTGCATTGTGGCATATTCAGACGCAGATTGGGCCGGATGTCCCGATACCTCTCGGTCCACCACCGGCTACACAGTATTTCTTGGGCCAAATCTTGTATCTTGGAAGTCAAAGAAGCAACCTACTGTTTCCAAATCCTCTACAGAAGCAGAGTATCGAGCCATTGCCTACACAGTGCAAGACACAATACACATTCGGTCAATTCTATTCGAGCTTGGTTTTCCAGTCACAACACCGGTACGTTTGTTTTGTGACAACATCTCTGTGTCATACTTGACAGCCAATCCTGTTCAGCATGCTCGTAGTAAGCATATTCAGATAGATTATCACTTTGTTCGTGAACGTGTGGCTCATGGTGATCTTGTTGTTAAATATGTTCCTACCAGTCTTCAGTTAGCAGATATATTTACTAAAACTCTATCTAGTCAGCAATTTCATTTTTTAAAAGACAACTTGCGCGTTGTATCTCCCGCACAGTTTGAGGGGGGTGTAATAGCCTAATATTAAATTAGGAATCCTTTGTATCTTTGGAAACTTTTATTAGTATAAATATATCTGCTAGGTACCTTATTGGGTAACCTTTCCCATTATTTCACATTTAATCGAGATGCATTATACTATAGATTATATGATAATGTTTATTTTAAGGTTGATTAATAATTGTCATATTTTCAAATATTATTTCTAAAGTGATTGAAAACTACATAAAAAAATAACCTTTCCCGTTAAAAAAATATAATGATACCGTTCCTTGTAGTGTTACAGTTTTCAACTAGCTACACATTTTTGTGCCCTACAAATATGACACACTTTGTTTTAGGTCCGTACACTTTTTCTTCATCCTTATAATATGCACTATTTTTTTGGTCTATCTTTAATTTCTAAATCACTCTACTTAGAAAAAAAATATTTTAGTTGCATAGATCTACTAAAAATATTTAAAATTGCCCTTTTATAAATTTTTAGCTAATATTAGAGTTAAAATAAAGTAAAACTAAATATTCAAATTTAAAAAATACATATTAAAAATCTTCTAAAAATACAATTAAATATTTTTGGAATAACATGGCAAAGAATTAGAGGAAAACTATTAGTCGTGGTTACTTTGAGATCAAGTGAAGGCACATTGTTATCATCATTGATGGAGTAAAAAGAAAATCTGCATAAATTAAAAGAACGGAAAACAAAAAAATAATTTTGCAAAACAAAATGTATTAGATTTACAAGGACTAAAACATATCTAAACCTACATAATACGAGTATACAACTACATAAAACTGCCAATTTTTATTAAATGATTATGAACATTTTATTTATGAACTTTTCAGGTCGGTCCTAAAATTATCATTATCCAATTTAATGTTTTCTATTCCACTTTTTTTGTTTGCCTATCTCTTCTAGCATTTAGATTAGCGCTTGCAATGTTGCAATAATTGGTCTCCTCAATGTGGGGATTACAACTTTAACTTGTAAGGAGGTATGGACAAGGATGTGAGTATAATGGGTCAGAGGGATAGGAATGCTATGGATACTCCCTTCACAATAGTGTCCAAGAGACTCTTCGTTTAATATTTTACATGGTTTAAAATTATTTAGAGCTTTTTATCAAAACCAGTGCGAGTGTGTCAGTGTGTGACCAGAGGAAGTTAGGGAGTGGAGGTTCGTTGTTTTTAGTATTGGGTCCAGTAATTTACAGAGTTCTGTAACTTCTGTTGGTCAGTGTCACACTACTTAGATTTGGTCATGCAAGTTTTATTAAAAACTTGTTTCCTTCTCAGAGCATCTCCATTCATCCTTTCTAAATAAACGATTTTTTATTACACATCATTGACACATCACATTTATTCAATAAGTTCTAAATAATCTCAATGCTTAAAACTCTTCATCAACAATAATACTCAAATAATTAGTTTTTTCTGGACATGCATTAAATGTAATTTAACTACAATCTAAAATAATCCGGGATTTGAATCTTGATACCGGATTTTCTTTTTCAATAATCTCACTAAATATTCTCTCACTAACAATGATAATCTTTAAAATAATCTTACACATCATCCAATTGATCTTCAAATAAACTCATGAATGGGGATACCCTTACTCTGTATTTTCTTAGTATCAACTTCCATATATATATATATATATATATATATATATATATATATATATATATATATAAGTTCTCCGTATATAATTTCATTTTCTCATAAATGAGTCTTCACAAAAACAAAAGTGAATTTTGCTAGGGGTACACAATTTGTGTACACCCTTGGCACCCCATATAAATACCCCCCCCCCTACCTCACTTCCTCTCCTTCCCAATTCAAATTTTTACCCTATTTTCTTTTGTCTTCCATCCATCCCAATTCCCGCCCCATACTCCCGCACCCACTCCACGATTCGGACCGGCAGCGACACCATCTACGCCGAACCCATCCAGCGACGCCGGACGACAACCGAAGCATCCATCTACGTCGGACTGCTCTGCTCTGGAGAAACGAAGGCCGTACCTCGAGGCGCTACTCCTCGTTCCTCGCGACGCCAACCGAAGCATCCATCCAACCGAAGTCAGTTCGTCGAGGTGCTTACCCATCCTCCTGGCTACTCTGCTCCAACTCTACGAGGCGCTGGTCCAAGTTCAACTAAAAAGACGATAACTTTGAAGCCATGGTGCGAACAAGTTTAACCGATCTTGCTAAAAGGTAATATTTTCATCCTTGTGCAGTACTCACCTTACCATAATTGATTTAATTTAATTAAACTAGACCTAATTTTCTTTATGTGCTTTAAGAGTTGTCTGAGATGTTGTTAGTGTGTTGTGAGATGTATATGACATGTTCTGAATTGTCTATAAGGAGTTCATACATGAGTGTGATGTTTTAAATAGATGTCTGTCATTCATATTCTCGTGTTTGTCTTTTTTTGTATCTGTCAATTGCTTAGAATTGTCCGTCTCGTGTTTTCAGTTGTCTGTCATTTGTTTTGAGTTGTCTATAACAACTTTATAATTGTCTGTGATGTTTTCATTTGTTTGTTGTTCATATATCCTTGTTTGTCTTGTGTTGTGAGCTGTCTGTGAAGAATTTTTAAATGTATGTGCTGTGATACATAGATGTCTGTCATTCTTATTGAGTTGTCTGTCTCATTTTGTGTGAGTTTTTGGAAATGTCATAGGGCTCTGGAATTGCAAATTCCTGTCTGTGACCACTTCCCTGCTCAAATATCACAGTGTTCTGAATTTAAAGATGCTACAAAGTTGGTGAAATCGGGTTTGACTCCTGCGCAGCTTGCTGAGTTTCGAAAGATGCCGTGGGGCCATCTTCTTGATGTGCCAGAGCTTCAATTCTCAGCGCAAATTGTCCATAGCCTCTTGTTGAGACTAGTGTGTGACCAGCCTAACGATGAACTATGGTTTTGCGTCAATGACAAGTTGTTAAGGTTTACCTATAATGATTTTGAACGCATAACTGGGCTCCGTTCTATGGGTCCAACTCTGGTCATCTCCGATGTAGATGAAGGTAATGGGACGTTAATAGATAAGTTCTTCGGTGGTGCGAAGGAGATCAGCTTTGGGACCTTGATAGCGAAGATGCAGTCAATAAAGTCGAAAAAGGCAGGACCTCGCGGTGATCCTCTCAAGCTTGCATGTGCTTTCTACGTGCAATGTGTTTGATACCGAGGAACAAGAAAACATTGATGAATTCTCAGTTTCTCAGATAAAGACCTCTTATGGTTGGGCAGGGCGATAGGTTCAAGGAGAATAAGAAAGCCAATTGATATGCACTAGTTAGTAGTGCATAAATGTGTGTTTTTATATGTTGCTTTGTGTGGATTGTTTACCATTTGTGTGTAGTTGTAAACATTTGTTTACTTTTTTATTTGTAAGTATTTTTAGCTTTTATTTGTGAGTTAGGAAGTTTTGGTAGAATTATTGGCAAGGAAAAGGAAGAAAAACAAGGAGAATGCTGCCCAGGAGTGTGAACCCGACCGGGTAGAATCCTTCACCCGGTCGGGTTTGAATTAACATTTGCAGTCTCCAGGAAATTGCTTGGCCCGGTCGGGCCCTATACCTCACCCGGTCGGGTGAGACTTGACCGAAGACAACCCGACGTGCTGAAGAACACTAGAACGTGGAAAATATTTGATTCGGACCGGTACCCGGTCGGGTAGATACTCCACCCGGTCGGGTACTCGGCCAAAGGTGTTGAAAAACACCTATAAATAGCACACTTTTCCTTCATTAAAAAGCACCCCTTCTTCCATACTCTTAAGCTCAGTTTAGAATAGTATTTCTTTTATATTTTTATAGCATGTTTAGTCTCCAAATGAGGAGCTAAACTTCCATTTCTTGGTGTTGCTCTTGAAGCTTGTTGATTATTAAAGTTGTGAGTTATTTTCTTAACTTCTTTCCTTGAATATTAATTCTTCCTTTAAATACTATTTCTATATCAATGTTGGGGAGTGTTGCTAAGATGACAATTAGTTAACATCTTGACATTGGTCTTAGTAATAGCTATACCTTCCTCTATGTTAATATTGGGGAGTGTTACTAAGATGACAATTAGTTAACATCTTGATATTAACTATAGTAGGATTCATTTTCTTTAATATTCTTCCTTGAGTATTAATTAATTCCTATTCATATTTCATATTAATATTTTGAACATTACTTAAAGGATCAACTAGTTTTGTTTCATATATTAATTATTACTAGAAACGATCAACGAACCGATGGTTAATCGTTGATGGTTTCACAAGTAAGTAACTTCGGTTTATTAATGCACGGTCGTGGTTAATAAACTTAAGAGGGATTAATTTTGTTGGTTAAACCGAAACCGTTGTGTTGAGGTTATCAATCTCAATTGATTTCATCAAGGAGTTAAGAGATTAAATGCTACTATCAAGTCGGTATATGGCGTTGTTCTATACTTGACTAATAGTAAGGGTTATTAATGAACGGTCGTTGTTAATAACTTTCCTCGATGAATTGGATATACTCCTCGATTGAGTATTCGAGAGGAGATAAGTTATAGATATAACAATGATCGACTGAAATATATCAACAAGTGGAAAGTAGCAATGCCAAGTCCTTTTTATCTTTGAATTAAATCACATTTAAGTTGTTCATCTTTCTGTTTAATTAAATTAAATCATTCAATCCTAAACCCCCCTTTTATTTACTAGTTCTATAAAAAGAGAATTATTCCTTTCCCTGTGGATACGAACTCTACTTCACCTATACTACGTATAAGTGCTAGTGTTGAATTTACTTTGAGTGCACTCACGACAAAGTGCACGTCACCAATCCTCAATACAAAAACGCAAAGTTCACATTGCACGGTCTTCCTCTCGTCCTACAGGTAATGTTCACCTGATATTTGATTGTGTGTTTGTATTGTCATGTTTGCATGAAACACAGACAATTTTTTTCTTCCACAGACACTTCATCCTTTATTACAGACATTTCTTAACTGTAGACAAACAACTTATTCTGCCACATTGTTTTTGTTTAATTTTCGTTTGTTGTTTTTCAGGTTTGGGCCTACGAGAGTCTGCCAGAGCTAGGACGGAGATGTGCTGAACGTGTTGGCAATCATGACGTCCCCTTGCTCAATTGGAAGGCTACGGGGTTCTTTCATTTGCAAACGCTAAATGAAATGATTTTCAAGGATCATTACGATGTAATGTATTTGTGTGTTTTTAAAATATGAAATTTTGCATCAAAGTGTGTAAATGACTATAGCTTGTACGTGCAGGAGGAAGACGATGGTGAAGATGATGATGGCTTCAAATCCAAGATGATGGCTGAAATGAAAAAGCTACGGGCGCAAGTGGTGTCTCTGGAGGCGCGGCTAAAACTAATGGAAGATAGGTTGCTTGTCGGGAGTGTGGCTGAGGAGAAGCATGATGAAGATGAAGATGCCAAGCATCAAGCTGATGAAGATGAAGAGCACAAGCATGATAAAGTTGCAGATGTTGAGGAGGATCATCAAGCTGATGCTCAACATCAAAAGCATGAGAAAGTAAATGTTATTGTGTTTCCCACTTGAGACTGCTCTTCTTTCCATGCATTGTGAATGTCTGTCTTTCCTTTACTTTTTGTTTGTCTCATATAATTGTTGTGTGTCTGTATGTCCTTTACCATTAAATGTAGGTGGCAAATGCAAGCGCATGTGATATGAATGCCTCTGTACCTTCTCATGAGGTTCATGAATCTGTACCAGAAACTGAGAATCATGTGGAAGCAAGTTTTATTGTGTTTCCAACAATAGAACATGTTTCCCCTTTCAATGCTTTTCTGAATGTCTGTCTTTCCTTTATTTTTGTCTGTCTGATATACTATTTGTCTGTCTGTATGTCCTTTACAATTAAATGTAGGTGGTAAATGCAAATGCAGCTCATATGAATGCTTCTATACCTTCTGATGACGTTCATGATTCTGTAGCTGAAATTGAGAAGCATGTGGAAGTAAGTTTTATTGTGAATGTCAGTCTTTTCTTTATTTTTGTTTGTCTGATATATTATTTGTCTGTCTGTATGTCCTTTACCTTTAAATGTAGTTGGAAAATGCAAATGCATCTGATTTGAATGCTTCTGTACTTTCTGATGACACTGTAGCTCAACATGACAAGCAAGAGGAAGTATGATTTCATCTGTTTTCAATTATAGAACATGTTTCCCCGTTCCAAACATCACTGATGTAACACTTGAGATTTAATATAAACGGATTAATAGTACTACTCATACCAACAAGGTGCATCTCCTTTTAAGGGAGCTCATTAGCCAAGAACTCCAAAGTTAAGCGTGCTTGCACGGGAGTAGTCTTGGGATGGGTGACCCCCTGGGAAGTTTCTCAGGGCGCGTACGAGTGAGGACAAAGTGCGCGGTAAAGGCTCGTGGTGGTTTGTGGGGATAGTACTATTGGTCCGGAGTAGCTACCTCGGGTCCTGCGGGGCCGGGGTGTTACAGGTGGTATCAGAGCAACTCTGCGACAGTGTGCTGATCCGTTGGATATCGGGCAGACACCTAGCAGGGGAAAGGTTTCTGGGATTTGATTGAGATTGGTTTAAGGGCGCAACGAGGACGTTGCGATCCTAAGTGGGGGTGATTGTAACACTTTCTAGAATTCATGTTTTCTTTTTGTTTTTCCCATAATTGTTTGTCTGTCCTTTATCATTAAAACCAACAGCCTATTGATGAGTGTCATAAAGCTGAAGCTGAACATGAGAAGAATGAAGAAATTGCACATGTTGCCGAAGGGGGTCACGATGCTCACGTTAAAGGTGTTGACATGTTTGAAGCAGGTACTGATGTTGGTCAGGAGGGCCAAATTGGTGACAGGGCAAAATTAATCATTTCAAACATCGTGTATGAAGTAAGTTTGTGTTTCCCAGTTTATGACATGTTTCCTCTTTCCTAAATGTTATGTATTGTCTGTCTTTCCTTTTTATTTGTTTGTCTTAGGTATATTATTTGTGTGTCTGTATTTGGGCCGTTACAATTTTAACATAAAATGCAGGTGGATAATGCAAATAATTATGAGAATCATGACTCTGTATGTTCTGATAAGGCGTATTGGGATGACGTGGTGGATGAGTGGCAAGCTGTCGCTAAAGAGGACTTGGAGGCTGAGGCGGGTGATGTGGGGATGAAAAGGAAAAGGTTCGGCTCTAAGTTCAAGCTTAGCCCTTTCACCGATCCTAACCCAAAGCGGCTGAAAGGCGTGAACAAAGCAAATGATAATCTCAGCCAAGTAGCTGAAAGGCGTGAAACAGCGCCACATTGATGATTCATAAGAAACTTAAGTTTTCAGTTACCCCGTTATCATTCACACACATTACGTTTATACGAGGCAATAATGTTCAAAGCACAAAAGAAAGTACATGATAAACTACATCAAACTAAGGTTTAAGTCCAACCCATAATCATTTATACATTCCATAAATACGGGAGTTTGAGGAATTTGGTCTGATCCACCAATGGTGTCAACTGTAGAACCCTCCTTGCTCACATTTTTTTATTTTGTCTTCGACTGCAAAAGAAAAACAAAATAAGTATTGTTTTGACATGCAAGTAAAAGGTATGTACACTATCACCTTTTGTTTCTTCTTTCCTTTTTCAAGGGAAGTTCTTCATATCCACCGGCTTCCACAACGGCGGAGTTGAAACTCTTATAAACCAGTATTCCCGCAACATCATTAATGTCATGGTTTCTCACCATGTGCGGTGTCAACTTTATATTACACCGGAATAGCCTTGCCTTCGTAGGACTCATATCATGATTATGATCTAAACATAACTTTGAAATTACCTATCCTCCGGCATAATTTGGACGTGCTCTTATTCTTGCAAGGCAACCAACTTGCATTGAAGGTTGAGGCTTCAAAACATTTTGTGACCGGTTAGCCCTAATTCCAGCACGACCACACTCTAAGACAATCGCAATGATGTTGCCGGATTTGTCTTTACTTGAACTTCGTTGTCTAACGGGAAACCCCACTCTTCTACCATAAGCCTTGTAGAAATCATAAATTGCGTCTTTACTAGGAAACTCCATACCAACTTCGGGGTCTTTATTACTACTCTTTTCTTCCTCTTCATCTGTTATTCCAAAAAAATGCATGTTCATAAAAATTTAAAACTCACAACATTTTGTCTGTCCAGACAAACAATAGTATGCAATTTTTTTCCCATAACATTCTTGTGTACATTCACAAATAAAACCACATGTCCAAAACTTATATACACTTTCACATAACAACTACATCATCTATCAAAACATACTACAAAAAACTCTTGTAACAATACTTGCATGTCCATACAGACGTTATTTCTACATAGACAAACAAATTACATTGTCTGTCAGACAGACATTTTACATATGGGTCAAACAACAAACGTATTATGTTTCAGTAGACAAACACTGCACTTATAACTACTCTGATAGACAGACAACCCTTTTCATATCCCAAATACACCAAAAAACCAAGAAAACAAAATCAAGAAAATCAAGAAAACAAAACCAAGACAACAACACATACTCAAGCCTTCCACCTCTGGACCTTGTTCATCTTCATCCCTCGACCTCGCATCCAGTTCGCCGGAAACCGGCGTACGACCATCATCTTCACCTTCATCACCTAGCTCTCCAAAAATCATGTTATCCAAGAGTAACACATCAACCCACTCGGATGTATCACTCCCGTTTAGCTCCATTGAAGAAGAGTTCCAACGGAGAAGATGATGGATGTCTCACTCTTCTCTTCGGTCGTTTGCTCGAATCGCTGCTTCCGATTTTTTTGGCTTCCGATTTTTTTGGCGACATGACTTCTGCGCAGGGGAGGGAGGGAGGGTTGTGAGATGGCAGAATTATTTGGGGGGTAACTGATGGTAAAAAGAGGGAGTATTTAAATGGGGTGCCAAGGGTGGTACACAAATTGTGTACCCCTAGCAAAATTCAACAAAAGTACCTAACTTTTGTTTTTCTTTTGTAGAAACGGAAAGTGTACGTAACTTTTGTTTGACTACAACTATCTCCCACTTCCACAAGAACAAACAAGGAACAAACAAGCTATATGCTAGAGCCCATAGAATGATGGAGGGTTCTCAATGGCAAGTGGACATAATTTACGACATAATCATTATTCCGCTCTAATTAATTCATGAACTTTTCTCATCATCTTGTTATGTAGTTCGTGTTTTCTATTTTTTGACATAGTTTGACTTTACAAAGAATAAGAAAATAAATTACTGAGGGGAAAATTTTAATGTAGAGTACACTGTTTGAACACTTGTTTGGCACTGTTTGAACACTATTTGGCACTGTTTTGCACTATTTTGGTAAAGAATTGTTTACCAAACAAGGAAATAAGGAAGTGTGACATTCTTTTTTAAACATTCAAAAAAGGAAAGTGTGTCAAACAAAGAGAAACAGAGGGAGTATATTATCAAAATTGACCGAATTGGTTGAATATTGTTAAAATTTATGAAGTTGTAGTTGAAGAAGTAGTTGAATTAGCTGAATTTGCCAAATAATGAAGTGTGGTACTTTACATTATATTCACTTAGAAAAGTAATTATAATCTTACTTTACATATTTTGATTATTATATAATCGTGTGAAATAAAAAATTACGCGTTAGATGAAAAATTGAATGATAAACCCAAAAACATATTATCAAACATATCTCTAAAATTAATACTCCGTAGTTCATTTTTCCTAAATAAATGGCATTATAAGTTTTTATCGAGTTTAACAAATTAGTAGAAGTATTGAGTTAAATAGAAAACTTGAGAAAGCGAACCAAATAAGGTTGGGAAGTGATGAAAAAAGTTGAACAAGTAGGAAAGGCCACACAAAAATTGAATAAGCATGGAAAAAATCTATATATATATTAAAACAGAAAAGTGTGAGGGGAGAGTTTGGGCGGGAAGTGTGAACACAAACTATTTCAACCGGTTGGAGTTCGAAAGATGTAAAACAAGGCTGGAGTTCCCGAAGAGGCAGAGGATTAAATGAACCATGTCACTATGTGAATTAATTACGGAGTATTAATATAATGATGTCTAGAAAGTTACGTTGGGCAAAAATAATTACGTTGTATATAGAATACAAATTTGCACATGCATCTAAAAGTGACTGTTGGTTTATTTTGAAAACACCTTTGTTGGTTCTCCTATAAATAGAGGGTCATTGACTCATTGCAATTTTTCACTCATTAAGGGATGATGTTGTTGGTGTGAGGCCATGAGGGGTTGATATATGTATAATTATTAAGCTCACGAGAAAATTGAAGAGTGTCATCGGGCTTCCATGCATTAGTAATCATCACACACCAGGCCACGGGCCGGGTAAGACGATCGTTGACAATTTTTCCTGCTTCATTGAACAAGAAGAAACCATTCATAAATGCAATCGACATGAGGTAAAAAAATAAAAACCAATCTTTATTTTACTCTGTATATAAATATATACGTAGTACTCATATAGTGATATAATATACTATCGAAATTCTGTCAATGTTATTCTTTAATGTGCATACACTATAATCCGTATTAAACATTTTTTCTTATCAAATATTTCAAGATTGTCAAGCGGCAAATTGATCTTTCACCGTTATTCACACGGTGCATGCAAGAAAAAAGTATACTCCGTATTATTTATGTTGTAATTTCCGCATGAAAAGTATGCATGTGTCATCTATGCCAGAATATCTATATATCTGGTCTGTAATCAATAATCATCATTGTGGTTGGTTAACAATGAAACAAATGGGAGGGAAAACATGCACTTTGCGTGTTAGTGTTTACTAATAAACAATCGTGTGGAACACACCGAGAAACTTTGATTTAGATTTTCGAAACCAAATTAAAAAATTATCATAATAATTTTGTGTAATGTAATAGTTCAACAATTTGTTTCAGTCCGATTCTCCTTTAATTTAGATTTTCCAAACTTGTTTATATAAAGGGAAAAATAAATCAAATACCCCAAATTTTGGAGGAGTGTGAGATAAATACCCCAAACTTTCATATGTAATTTAAATACTTCAAACTTTATATACTAAGTTATTTTAGCACCATGACCATATATTATTATTTTTTTCAAAAATAGAAATTTAAGGTTTTAATTTCATAATTTAAAATAGCAAATAAAAAACGTTGCAATTATATAGAGTGGGAGTAGTATATGTTATTTTACAATGGAAGCATAGATTGTTAATTGTATGTTCATGAATACTAAAATATTTTAAATTATGAAATTAACACAAAAAATTAACATTTTTGAAAGAAATAATACATGATCATGGTGCTAAAATAATTGTTTATAAAAAGTTTGAGGTATTTAAATTACATATGCAAGTTTATGGTGTTTACCTCACACCCCCTCAAAGTTTGGGGTATTTTAATTATTTTTCCTTTATATAAATTGTAATCATATTTAATTTGTTGCCAATTTCATACATTAATAACGACTTTTCGCCGTTTTCGGTTTTAACTTTTTACCTCGACAAATCCTTCCTAGCTAATAACACATATTCATCCCACACAAACTATACTACCGCACCAAGATTTATTAATCCAAGTGAAACAATAAATCCAACTGGCAATTGCCAAATATCGAACTATAAAATCTCAATTAAGATTAGGAATCCCACTCACAAATCGGATCAATATATATATATATATATAAAGATTCAAAAAGCTTTCCTCCGTTTGTTTTTATACCAAGAAAAGAACCTCCCACTTTCATGGGATTATGTCCTTGATATTACTAATTTTGAACCAACTATAAAAAAAAGTGATCACTTTTAAAAAAGGGCAAACAAGTGATCAAGAAGGTGATATTAATGTCATTCTCAGATTTTAATGTCACTATCCTGTTTTAATGTCACTGTCAAATGTCACTGCCGCTATCGCCCGTGTCACTGCGGCCACAGCCCATGTCACTGCGGCCACCGCCCGTGTCACTACGGCCACCGCCCATGTCACTGTCATAATGACGCCACCATAGTGACAGGGTGGCTCCATCACAGTGACACCACCACTGCCGGTCACCACAAGCCACAACACCTCGCACCACTCCCCAGCTGCCCCTCTCCGGCAGCCTGCCTCACCAGCCCCCCACCCCTGTCACCGCCACTACCCCACCACACACAACCGTCGCTGCCCCAATCTACCCATTCCAGCCTTCCTCTCCACCGCCCTAATCCCGAGGGCCGTTGCGATATGTCACTCCCCTTTCCCAACCTCCGCCCTTGCCCTTTCGTCTTCCCTACCCCTGCCCCAACGACTTCCCCAACAACTGGATGCAAGATTTGTCCATTCCAATGAAACTCATAAACATAGGTGAAAAGACAGAAGATGAAGAAGATTAAGTGAGTATTTGAAAAAGCGGCATAGCTATTGCGGTGCAGAAAGGCGACGACGGCGGCCATATCGAAGCAACTGGTGGCGGTGTGTCCATAAGCAGTGGTGGAGGTGACCGGTGAGCGGAGGAG